CAGTCACATTCTACCCCCACTCCCTGTGGGAGTTACAGTCACATTCCCCCCCCCACTCCCCGTGGGAGTTACGGTCACAATCCCCCCCACTCCCTGTGGGAGTTACAGTCACATTCTCCCCACTCTTTGGGGGAAGAGGTTTCTCCTGAATTCCATATTGGATTTATTACCTACCCATCTTACATTCACAATTCCTAATCATTACATTTATATCCTATCCATTTAAAACGAATGTCCATTTTGCCTTTGTAATTCTTGGCTGTGTCAAAGGTAAGTTTCTCACTGAATCATCATTCAGTGATTATTTGCAGTTCATGTACAAATAAACTAAAGTCCACAGAGAGCCGGCCACATTCTGTTCCCCTCAACAAACCAAACATCACCTTCCCTCTGGTGAATGGTTCTGACTGCAAGACCTTGACACTAACCCCTTGCTAAAAAATGACAATCCCATAGCTCACTGAGTGACAATTCACTGTTATCGTGATAGGCCATGAATTGAGTAATTCATTCAGTTCTGGTCCCATGTCTCAGGAAGAAAATATCGATCTTGGAGCGATATCCCACAGATTGACCAGAATGATACTGGAGCTAGAAAGGTTACATTATGGGTCACATTGCAGAAACTAGCCTTGTCTCCACTCAAATGCACAGCATTAACGGGTGAGCTAATGGAGATGAAAACATTCAATAGGGCAGGGAGCAAATATTTCCTCTGGGGGGAGGGGAAGGAAGGTGGAGAGAGTCTAGAACTTTTCAGGATTCCTGGAACAATGCCAATTCCTAATCATCCTTGAGAATGGGGTGAACGCTGGCAAGGAGGGAATTCCAGGATTTTAACCCAGTGACACTGAAGGAACGGCAATATATTTCCAAGTCAGAATAGTGAATGGCTTGGAGGGGAACTTGCAGGGTGTGGTGTTTCCCTGTATCTGCTGCCTTTGTTCTTCGAGATGGAAGTGGTTGTGGGTTTGGAAGGTGCTGTTTCAACATCTTCGGCAAATTTCTGCAGAGTATCTTGGAGATGGTACACACTGCTGCTACTGAGCATTGGTAGTGAAGTGAATGATTGATGAATCCCAACACTGTACCCAATAGTCATTTGGTAGTACAGAGTTCGAAGATTGCTGAAGAAAGACACATTTTGACAAAGATTTCATCCTGCATGCATCAGGACATTTTGCAAGAATACCAGTTCAAGGGAAAAACCTATATTTTTACTGCATAAGAGGAAAGTGCTGATTGGTTGACAAATGCACCCTGATAGGCTGAGGCATTTGCATGCATTAATCAATATTGATTGACATTTAACAACCAAGTGCTGTTTCAGTTTTAAACTAGGCAGATTGACTCTGACTAGTCAGGCCATTGCCCTGAAATGTGAACCAACAAATGGCTGTTACTTATTTTGTTGACTTGAAACAGATGTGGTGCGTGAACATGAAAATTAAACAAAGAACAGCTGATGCTGGAAATCTGAAACAAAACTAGAAAGTGCTTAGAAACCTAGCAGGTCTGACAGCATCTGGTGAGACAGCAGACTTACCACATTCCAGAACTGTTCTGAAGAGGGGTCAGTGGACTCGAAACATTAATTCTGTTTCTCTCTCCATAGATACTGCCAGACCTGCTGAGTTTCTGCAGCAATTTCTGGTTTTTGTTTCAGTGCATGAACATGTTCTCCTTGCCTACAAAGAACAGGGTCCTAAGTATTCATATAGGGAGCTTCCAGTACAGCACACTGTGTGCCTAACTGTTGTCAGTATAATTCCTCGCACATTTGGGATTATCCAGCAAATGTTGTCCAATTGCAGAATCATATCTATTGTTGGATACTGTGTTGGGTAGTTTGGAAGTGCGAGCTGATTGAAATGATCAATACCATGTCTCGTCTAAGCTGTGCAGCGACTGCAACAGCGAACAGCAATCAGCACTCAGCATAGCAGTGACCTTCAATTCCAGAGATCACTGCCACGCATGTGAGCTCACAGGCCCATACAACCGGGAAGCAAATTAGAAGGAATGGCAGTCAGCACCTTGCTTGTTGTAAACAGATGGAGGGACATGATCTGCTAGTCTTTGGGAAGTGCAGCCTAAATATCTGGCATCACAGCAGCACTAAAATTCATATACCACATGATTCATTTGTTTGATATACAGAATATCTTGCCAGCAGCATTCTGTTAGTGGTGAACACAGCTCATATTGCTGCACAGTGTGAAACAGCTCACTTCAGCTGCAGCTCGAGCCTATGGGATATCTTCCCCTTCCAGGGTAATCGGAGGTAGACTGGGCGCTTTTCAGGATTTTGACTTATCCCCTTTGGCTCTTTCATGAATTTGCTCGATATACAGGGAGGAATGATCTGATCGGGAAGTGGGGGGGGGGTGGTGTGCCCCATTATCCCTCACAATGGCTTTGGTGCTCCTGATGTTGGCATGAAGCTTTCACAGTGACCAAATGACTCAGGCCCTGTGTATGAGGTCTCTGATAAGCTCACTCTTACAGCAATGTGAAATAGTAGGAATACCAACGTGGAATCTGAGCAGTGAAGGTAGGTCTGTG